TGAGCTGGGAATCGAACCCTGATCTCCAGAGTTGTAATCCAGTACTCAAACCACTATACTACATTCTACACAAAATGCACACATTGATATTTGTGCAGAAAAACAGCATTTGTTTTGCCCAGAAGCATTTTCTTCATAGAAATTAACACCTCAATTCAGAAATATTACTTCTATGCAGAAATTAATATTTCTGCATTGGAATATTATTTTATATGGGGAAAAAAGCTGTTTCCTGCATTGAAAATGTTGTTTCCAGTAAAGCAATGAACCAGGTGTGCGTTTTGTGCAGAGCAAGTTCCAAATTGTGAATGGCCTTCGAAAATTGCATGTTTTTGAAGGCTTTCTCATAGTGTAAAGAAAACTGATGAAATTACTCATTGCTACCTTTGAATAGAATCTTAGTGAAGAATTATATCCCTAATCTTCTCAGCGGTAAATTCTCTTGAGTAAAATGGAATTTTCTCCCATTTATGTTTATAGTATTGCAATATTTGTTCTATGTTTCCACTAATGTGAACGTAACTTAAGTCTCACACTTCATTTTGACTGGATTATAACTAGGATTCTTTTGACATGTCTCTTTTTACCCCCCTCACATTCTCTCTCACACACAACAATGAGAACATCTTATCATAAATTAAGCAGCCTCATATGCTATTTCAAAATAGTTGGCACACATATTGCCCACTTTTGAGTGACAAATTTCCTTTTCTATGTTCTTAAGAACTGAACTTCAACCAAAAATGTTAAATATTAGATGTAATGGGCAAAATTCTATGATCTTGATCTTCAGATAAATAAAGGGCAAGTTGACAGAATAATTAATGATGTTTGTTATCAGGTAATAGTAAGCAGCCACCACTATACACAGTTAATCTTGTACCAAAAATGATTCCCCAAAAGGAGATAACAGATCTGATTCAACAATCCTAGCACTATCCCATATTTATAAACTGAGAAGACCATACACAGCATTGCAGTATACATAGTATTTTAAAGCCATATGCAACATTTGCTTATTGCAGTTATACAAATAACCTTGCTTAAACATGGCAGATGTTTGCTATTTCAGAAGGTGCTAATGCCAAAATTAAATCATGATGTTTGTCTTGATGTTTCATGCTGAAGCTTAAATTCACCATTCTTCTAGATTGAGATAGTTCTCACTACAGATATTTCAGAATACTGAATTATTGTGTATCATTTTTTCATTTTCATTTAATGTTCAGATTATTAACATTTATTTGTTTCTACAAAGATAGATATTATTGAATGTGACCAACCTTTAATACTGTCATATTGCAAGAATGTGGATTAGACTTGCTCACAGAGTGCCTCTCACTCATGTAACTTCAAGTATTTGGAGCAGTCCCATTCTTTTCTATATGTCTCAACTCTTTCCATGTCTCTGAACTGAAAGTCAATGTCTTTGCACACAAATGTCCTTTATGTAGCACAAGGCATCAAGGATGCCAGACACACACAGCTTTTATGGTGACTGTACCTCCAGTGGAAAAGGAGAGAATTAGGATAGAAGACTAGAATTGCACTTTATTAGGCCTCCAAACAATTTGGCAATTAGAATGCAGGATGTTTACTGGGGACCCAATGTATGGGAAGTCCCAGTCTGTCTGCTGGATATTGTCTAAAATATGTAGGCTAGAGATAGTGTGGAGCTGTGGCTCCAATGGGACTTGGTGGTGAATCTGCTTCAGGCTTTATTTCAGCCCCTAAAAAAGTTATTCAAGGCACTGGGCCCAATTTGTTAAATATGTTCAGCACCATTACATTTGGAATTAAAGCATAGTATGGATTCACTATGTTGTTCAATGGAACCCTAGTCTCCACTAGAAAGTCAGTGAAGATGTCTATCCTTAGACACATCTCCAGGGCATGCCTTTTTTCAGTTATGAAGATAGCTAAAAACATTCAAATTAGTGTTAAAGGTCCTGTTCAGTATTGGATGGATATTGTAAACCTCCCTGGATTCTATATTGGAAGAAAGGTGGGAAATAAAATACATATACACACATTACTTACCCCACCTTGCGCATATCATTTGACATCCCTACATCAAGGCTACATAGCCCTCATCTCATCTCAACTCACTGACTCATCAGACATTACATATATGTAGACTACAGAATCTGATGCATCTCTAGAAGTGGTAAGAATCAAACTATAGTGGAAGATTTTCCACCTACAGTGTCTGCGAGTTCATGATTGCTACATTTTTTTTTCTTGATTCATCTTTTGCAAGCTTTGAGGATAGTTCATTGTCAAGGTAAGAATGGAGGCATAGTGTAGTTATGCATGCAGTACACTTATGCTATGTCTCTGCAATACAGAATCATGACCATTACATGTGAGAACCAGCTGTACTGTTGAATGTGTGTAGTGAAGATTACTGAGAATTTCAGTCAGCCAGTCATAATTTATAATAATAATAATAATAATAATAATAATAATAATAATA